CTGGTAATCATCCTACACTCATCATTTTGATGGACAGGACAAAATTGAGATGTCACATTTCTAGATTCATACCAAGTTCCCCTTGATATGAGTTCATAAATATGAAGCTAAACAGCGCCTTCTATGGCATTTGGGAATCTTTTTTTTTTTTTACATAATTCATATGAATTTTTAGAAGAGGGAGATGAATAACACTGGGGTGGTGCCAGGTTCTGCATGAACAAAGACCTGCCCTTCTTCCAGCTCTGCCAAATGTACCGCTGCCCTACAACAAATCAAAAAACCGAATCTGCAGGGGTCTTCTGCTAATGCTTCCAAATCGTGTTCATGCAGTTCTGTATGGTCATTTTGCCATTTCCTAAGTGCATGGTGTTGACTTAATCTCATAACTCGGCTCTTCCTGTGCCCTGTCCTGTTCCTTTTGCCTTATACAGAGTCAGATCATTGGGTCCATCTAGCTCAGTATTGTCTACACTCTCTGATGGCAGCTTTCCAGAGTTTTCAGGCATCTCCCAGCCCTACATGGACGTGGGTTCTTCTGCCCCACCACTAATCTATAGCTCTTCCCCATCAGGGTAACTTTCTTTACAAGGGGAGGAAGAGATGAGCTTGCAGCATTGCACCCATGCACCAATTCAGTGTTTACACACACACACACACAACCTCTGTGCCAGTAGTGCTAGAAGGGGATAAGTCTGTGTAAATAGAAGGTGAAGCAAGCCATGAAAATAGAAGTCTATAAAAGTAAAGCTATACCTGAACTGGCAGTGATTAATCAAGAAAGTCATCTTGAGTTTGTGGTAGACATCTAACTGAAACCTCTGCATGCAGCGTCGGGGAGAAACAGAAATGCCATGCTATTATTAGGAAAAGGACTGAAAATAAAACTGCAGCATTGTAATCCCTTTTATGTAAGTATTTGGTGCAGTTGCATTTGGGATAGTGTGTACGGTTCTGTACACTGCATCTCAAAAAGGATGTTGTAGAACTGGTGGGTCTGTCAATGTCTGCTTCTCTCAGTTTCTCTTTTTAAAACAAAGACTTCATGAAAATTTATCAGCATTTTAGTCCAAAATTTCTCCGAATATGAACATGCTTTTTATGCAATTTTGCATGACATACACATCTCTGCAAAGCTATTTTCCCTGATTTAATGTGTTTTTGTGTGCTATTCTAATTAATATATGCATTTCAATGCATACTAATGGCCTAGTATATGCATATGATGTTTCATAAGCATCATCACCCAACTGCAATGCTTGTTGTTCAGGCAATTCCATCAGTTCACCTCCAGCCATCACTGGTTCTGTTGTTCTACAGAACCCCTCCAGAACACCTACTTTCCAGCCTCCTTGTCTATTCATCTGTCACCCATTTGCCCTTAAAAAAAGAAAGAAAGAAAATCTATATACACCATCTCTCAGCACCTCTCATTTCAAGCCTGCAGTACAACTTCACTAATGCAGCAATGATACATTCTGGGAAGACAGATGCTGAGCCTTAATGGACTTTGGCATATTTTTGCAATCTACCAAAATATTGGCAAGTTTCTGCAACATACCTTATGTTGTTATGACTTCAGCAAAAACTAATAATAAATTTGACCTGACTTGCAACATACCGTAATTCCCTCCAGGGAACAGACTGAAATCACTTCCGTCAGTTCTGTTCAAGGTCAATCTAGACCTTTACATGAAGCCTGTGAAACTGAAGGCATAGTCTGTGAGTAGATGGGGTATAAACCATAATTCCTCCCACTGATGTCGGGTTATGCAGCTGCGTGAACATATGGAAGCTGCTTTATACTGAGTTCAGACCATTGGGCTACACTGTCTGGCAGCTCTCCCTGCCCTAACTGGAGCTGCCTGGGATTGAATCTGCACACAAAGCAGATGTTCTGCAACTGGGTCTGCAGAGGAGATGGAAAAATTGTTCATACGCAAGGGCACTGCTTACGGAGTACAGGAGACACCCACATTTCAGGCTTACTTAATTTAATCAATTACATTTATATATATGTGGTTCCCCATCTATGGAATGCTCTCCCCAGGAAAACACACCTGGTGCCATCACTGTCAGTTTTTAGAGGTCAAGCTAAGACATTTTTGTTTACTCAAGGTTTTATGGTATTGCCAGACAAGCATTTCAGGAATTCTGAATTGCACTTTGTTTCAATTTTGGCTTTTTGACTTATTTTATCTGTTTGCATTTATTTTGTTGCTAAGTCACTTTGTGACATTTTGTATAACAAGTGCAACAATTAACAACAACAATACGCAAAGCCCACAAAACATGTACATATTAACCCCTGCTTATTTTACACTCACAATAACACATCATCATCAGGCACAGGGCTGGAGGTGGCAGGAGAAGAGGAATACTAAAATGAGGGTTGACTTAAAAGCTGAGAGATCCTCATTTATGTAGACCCTAGTCTGAAGATGAAGAGTGAAGACTGGATTGGTCTCTGCTAGGTGCTTGCAGGTATCAGGTTGCAGCTAGGATTCTGGAATGAAGCAACAGTGGCTTATCTCCATTTTTGGAAACAAAAATACCTAGGTGTAACCCAGTTCTGAGTCACGCCTTAAGGAAAACACACTGGTTCCTGGTTAGGCACAAAGCAAATACAAAGAAAAACATAGCAGTCTTTATATTAGAAAATCCAATGTTTGATTTTCATGGTGAATAGGCAAAATTGTAGCAAAATTGTGTAGTCTTATCTTGGCAGTTAAGGGTGTATGCACCCTTCAAAATGCAAAGTTACTTTTCAGGTGGTAGAGGTAGAAAACCATGTGAAACTCTCCAAGGCATATTAAAACAAGGACAGGCGTATTGGTTTGTAAGAGGCAGGAATTGGAAGGGTGGGGCTGTCCGATATTCACAGTTGGACATTACCTTTACATTGCAAAATAGTGCACAAACTCTTAGGTTTTCCAGAGTTCCCCCAATTCCTGCTTCTGGCTGGTGAGGAATTCTGGAGAACTTGAAAGCTTGCAAAAAAATTGGCAACATTTTTTTTTGCAAAAAAAGAAAAAATCCTAACAGCTATTGCCCTACTGTGAATTTTGATGTGTGTTTTTCCTCCAATGGCAGAAAGAAAGAAAGAAAGAAAGAAAGAAAGAAAGAAAGAAAGAAAGAAAGAAGTCAAGGGTCTATGACACTGACTGCCCATCCCAACACCCACATTTGTTCATACTTCTCAGTAGAGAACTACTACTAGAACATCAGAAAAGTTCAACCAAATCAGATGAAGGGCCTACAGTTCAGCATCTTTTTCCCAAGTGACCAGACACAAGGAAGATGTCTAGCCATCACAGTGACTAGTAGCCTGGAGCGTACAATGTCCCCAATGCAGCTGCATATTCAGACATGCTGATCAGTTAAGGGACTGCCCTGCTGAAAAGAGGTTAGCAATGCAGATATAAAGAGAACTTGAAGGGAACTTTGGCTTCAGTGTGCAAAGAAGTATACTTATCTGAGTTGCAAATGGTTTTTTTCTGCCATCATCTTCTCACGGAGCAAGACTCTCAGCTGGGAGGTAAATGCTGCATATATAACTTAATGAAGCTTACAGGCCGAGTTGGGTTTTTGCCTCATCAAGAATGTGGGAGAAGTAATAGAGTTTTGACCCTACAAATTAGCGTTTATTGCTAATCAGGACAAGGGAACAAAGCATTTTGCAGCATCAGGTTGTATGTCAAACAGGAGAGGTGAAGCAACTGACTTATTACCAGAAATAAAAGCTGCAATCCTGAATCAATTAAGCCATGCACTTCCACCAAACAAAGCCTTGCCTTGACAGGGGGAACACAAACAAAGCCTGGATTTTAACATATGCTCATGACCTCACATTTGTATATCCTTTGATCCCCAGTTAACCTGAGCCCAACCTCACCATGGTCAACCCTGAAATCTGTAGCTGAGCCATGCAAAAGGAAGATGGGACAACATCAGGAATGCCTCTGAGCATGTGCAAAGTGTATTTCCCTTGCCATTAAATCAGGTATGGTGAACCTTTGGCCCTTCAAATGTTGCTGAACTGTAACTCCTATCAGCTCTAGCAAGTACAGTCAATGGCTAGGGATGATGGGCACCGCGGTTACGCAACATCTAAAGAACCAAAGGTTCTCCACAACTGCATTAAATGAGCCACAGTCTACCTGCAAGCAGCCGGCAGTTCGTTCCTCAAACTGCCTCTAAGGAATGCTCTATGATTATATATGTGGAATCCTTCTGATGAAGGTTCTGGAAAATGCAGGTGGCAGCTGTTAGAAGGGGCACAGTTCCAGCTGCATATTCTATTTTCTGCTTCACTGAATACTGCCCGCTATCCCTGTGAAAAGAAACACAGAAATGCCCCTACCTGCTTTCACCATATGGGAATGGGGCAGTGACTACAGGGGTGCATTTTGGCTCAGATGCAAATTTAAACATTTGAATAAAAACTTTACTATTTTAAAAATAATAATAATAAAGGTAAAGGGACCCCTGACCATTAGGTCCAGTCGTGACCAACTCTGAGGTTGCGGTGCTCATCTCACTTTATTCACCGAGGGAGCCGGCGTACAGCTTCCGGGTCATGTGGCCAGCATGACTAAGCCACTTCTGGCGAACCAGAGCAGCGCACGGAAACGCTGTTTACCTTCCTCTGGGGCAGTACCTATTTATCTACTTGCACTTTGACGTGCTTTTGAACTGCTAGGTTGGCAGGAGCAGGGACTGAACAACGGGAGCTCACCCCATCGCAGGGATTCGAACCGCCAACCTTCTGATCGGCAAGTCCTAGGCTCTGTGGTTTAACCCATGGCGCCACCCACGTCCCTTCAATAATAATAATAAAGCAGGTCTAATTGTTCATCACTCATTATACTGGTGCATTTGCAATGCAGAAAGTTGCATTATAGTGAGTCAGACCATTGGGTCCATTTGGCTCAGTATTTCCTACACTGGCTGGTAGTGGCTGTCCAGGGTTTGAGACAAGGGTTTTTCCCAGCCCTACCTGGAGATGCTGGGGACTGAACCTGGGACCTTCTGCATGCTAAGCAGATACTCTCTCAGTGAGCTACAGAACTCCCCCAGTTGCTGCTCCTGCTCCCTTTCCTCCTCATTGCTGTCACTTGCTTGCCTGCCAGGAAGAGAGTCACTAAGCAAGCAGGGAGCTGATTCTCCTTTGTCTACTGCTCCACCACTGTTTGGGCCAAAATGAGAGGCGGGTGGAGAAGAAGGTTGCAATAGTGAAGAAGAGGAGCAGATCCAGGGGCAGGAGCAGTGAGAGGGCCCCTGACACATGCCCAACCAAGCCGACAAGATGGTTAACCAGCTGTGCTCTGGTTAAAGTACAGGTGAAAAGCCGAACTCAACACATGGGTGCATCACCATGAAGGAAGAAGAAAAGGAAATGTGTTATCACATTTTCCCGGCCTCACGGAGGCAATAACACTTCATTTATACAACACTGCTGAAAGAGAGATAGAGAAAGAGAAGACAAGACATGAAATAAATAACCTGAGATGGGAATCTAAAGAAGGGATTAGCGACCACTTCTGGCAAAATAATATAGGTAAGGCTTGATCTTGAGAGGTCATTAAGAGTGGACTTTGTTTCCTGCTCTTGCAGCACCTGTCATGCCCACAGAACCACCTTATCTTTTCTAAATGCAAATAAACCACTTTGCTGGGCTTTAAAGCATCCTATTATGTGAGAAACGCAATGGGTGGATTCGCAGTCTTTTGGGGCTAAACACACATTAAGTACAAACGCACGTAAGAGACCCCCAATGCCTTTTTAAAAACTGGGGTTTTGTTAAAGTTGTTCCTTTCTCTCAGCCAGGTTTGCTTCCATTTTCAGAATCCAAGCAGCATAGTGGCTAAACTATTGGGACTGCAGAGAGCTGGTTTCAAATTGCCTCTCAGCCATGAAGCATGTTGGATAACATTAGGACAGATTCTTCCCCGCTCTCAGCCTGACATACCCCGTAGGATAGTTGTGGTAATAAAATTTGGGGCAAGATAGGATGTAATTATGTGTCTCATCTAGAGCTTTTAAAAGTGTAAACAAAGAACTGGACACTCCTGCCCCCAATTACATTAGCACTGATGAGGGAAACAGAAATTCCACATAGAGGGATGAATTTCCACAAAAGCGGGAGATTCTTCGCTCTTGGTGAGTGTGGAACTCAGGCTGTGTGGTAACACAGTAAAAAAGAATGAAAAACATTTTGCAGTCATGGCCATTTCATTAAATTTAACTGGTTTTAATTAAAAAGTTAGCTTACATTTGGATCCCCCATATTTTCTTGTCATTTTGCAACATGCAGTTAATGAAGTTCTCAAACGCAGCGCCGGTTCCAGCTGCTCAGTTTGAGATGCTTATTCGTTCAGGCCACACCACCACCTTTCAGATGAAAGGCTAAAAAGCCAGAGGGAAGAGCCTTCGCCTGGCCCCTAAACATATATCAAGATGAAACCAGGCATGCTGCCCTGGGGAGAGAATTCAGAAAGTGAGGGACCACCACTGAAAAAGGCCCTGTCACAAAGCAGGCGCCCAAAGCATCACATTCAGCAGAACCATAGCTAGCGGTTATACAACATGGCCTCCTCTTTGGGTTCATGTTTGTCTCATCAGCCTTCCTTTTTGCTAGCTCTACCGCCGCTGGTGCCATTTTGCCAGAGTGACAAGAGCCGTCTTTGTCAACCATTTGGCCGAAACTGCAATACGTACTTGAGAAGCACAAGGATTGAATGCCCGCAATCCCAAGCCACCTCTTTCACAGCAAATCCAAAGAAGAAGAAGAAGAAGAAGAAGAAGAAGAAGAAGAGGAGGAGGAGGAGGAGGAGGAGTTTGGATTTGATATCCCGCTTTATCACTACCCTAAGGAGTCTCAAAGTGGCTAACATTCTCCTTTCCCTTCCTCCCCACAACAAATACTCTGTGAGGTGAGTGGGGCTGAGAGAGTTCAAAGAAGTGTGACTAGCCCAAGGTCACCCAGCAGCTGCATGTGGAGGAGCGCGGAAGCGAACCCAGTTCACCAGATTACGAGACTACTGCTCTTAACCACTACACCACACTGGCCACACTACACCACAAAGCATCTGTTGTACAGGCCTGCCACGTTTCTACTGTGTCCCTTACGCACACTGTCTTAGCAGCAGCTCTTGACCTTGTTAGCCTTCTAGCCAGGAAATAAAACTGTGGAGCCCTTGAATACAAGCAGGTCTTATGGACAGATGGACCTCGGGCAACCTTGTTAAAACCCCTGTTAGACATCCACTGGTTGAATTACCACCACCCCTCAATAAAAACAAATGTCAGACAGCATTCTTCAGTGATGACCAAGCATAGGAAAGTTTTGCAGTGCGCAGTGGCAGCACGTACACTGCGGGCGCCTGTGGTGGTTGTGGCTGTGCACCCCCCCGGGGATGGTGCATGAACCTGGGGTGGGGTGGGGGGCAGAGGGTGAATGGATTTACCATTTGTGTGGGAAACCTGATACATGACAAACACAGAAATGATACCTCCATGTTAAATGGAGGAAATATCTGAGGTGACCTACTGACGAGGACAGTACTGCGAAAAATATGCCAGGAACCCTACTGAGTCCACTAAATTTGCCCTGTTGAAGCAGCCTCTTCCTCATTAGCTGTAAATTACCCCAAAATCCTCCAGTACACCCCGGTCTATCTTTTGCCTACCATGGTTGGAAGGAGAGTGGGACACACTTATGGACCTTTTCTTTCTTTTTTGCCTCAGATGCCAAAATAACTAAACAAGCCTTGGGTGCTATGTGCCATTTTCTGCTCCACCTCATGCATCAAAATGTTGTACATTGGCTTTGGTCCAGTTGGTGGACCTTGGGGCACTTGCACGCGCGCGCTCTCTCTCTCTCTCCCTCTATATATATATGATTGATCTTGCCATTCAGTCAGCCCACTCCAGAGCAGGCCTCTTAGCCAGCTTCCTCCCAACTTTGTTTCTTTTCCTGAAGGTCAGAATTTCGCTATACATTCTTCCTGCTTAGCAGGCAAACCCTCTAGTTCAGGAATGGGGAGCTGCCATCCTACCTGCCTGCCTTGACCCTGCAAAGGGGTCCAAACTGGTCCACAAGTCCATTTTCCCAAAGCCATGCCCACCTATCAGCTGACAGCAGTGGATTAAATGCACTGGCAAAGCAGACCCTGCAAAGAGCAGGACCGAACCCTCCACTCATCAGCTGATGTGTGGGAAAGTTCTCCTCTGTACTGCTTCACCAGAATGTTTCCTGTCTCCCACCCATCAGTCACTTGCTATATTCATGCTGTCGGATGACTGACAGGTGGGTGGCTCTGCTCCTGTCCGTGGGGTGAGAGGAGATAAAGATCTGGCCCACCAAGTCATAGAAGGTTTCCCACCTCTGCAGTAATTATTTATCAAGCATTAAAGTTGTGCTAGGTGCTGTGTAGTAAAGGCAAGTCCCTGTCTCCAGCTTACTAACCTATCATACATTATTATTTCCTCCTTCTTCCTATTCTTCTCTGGCTGCAGCGCAACTAAAGATAACACAAGAGATGCAATTTTGTAACAAATCAAATAATTCCCCCCCATCTGTTGCATTGAGAACATTTCTTTCTGCTTTCTCTAATGGTCTTTCCTCCCCGAGGGGAAAATAAAAGAAGGATTCTTATCAGAGATAAAGAGGAAGAAATAAACCATAACTGAATGCTGAAAAGACGAGAGAGAAAATAATAAGAAGCAAATTCACAGTGAGAGACAGAGCTAGATGAAATCCCAGGCAAATCCAGGAGAAGGAATAATCTAGCAGACAAAGCAAAGTAAACGAGAAGCAGTGTGGGGAGGGGGTGGATTGGATGGGCAAGGAGACAGTGGGCTGTGTTCTCTCACACCTTGAAAAGCTAAAACCAATGAGGGATCAGGAAACTGTTCCAGCCAGCCAAAGTAGCATCTCCAAGTAGCTATTCCAAAGTAATATCTCCAAGATGTATTCTTATTCTCAACCACCAGACAGAAGGCAAGAACTCTGCCTAGCAGTAAAGAAAAAATCTCTTCATGTCACATATCTGTGGCTAAATCTGACCATGAGCACATTTTAATTCTTGACGTGGCGTTCTAGTGAGCATTTGCAATCACTACACTATGACTGCGTGGGCAGTCTGTTTCTATGCTGCATAAACAGAGGATTAACAGTTTACACAGTATAGTATTACAAAGCATTTGTGTTGTTAGAGAACACATGCAACAACAAGCTGATCCCATTCTCCAAAACACAACCTCAGGCAATTATGGTACCTGATAACTTAGGCAGCTTTGTAAACTTAAACTGCAGTGAACTGAGGTTTGCCACAAAGCGTATACCTAGCAAGGAGCTTGATCCAGTACAACCTCTCTAATGATGCACCTGTGAGAGACACGTGGTTTCAAACATGTGTTTCTCACATTCACAGTTTTCACTTTTCAGCTGTACCCCTCAGATTTTTCCCTGGCAGGACTAGAACCAGGAAACCACAGATCTGTGCACTTATTGTCCTTTGTGTTGAGCCACTCGGGCTACACTGGTTTGAATGTCCATTGGGTCTCCAGTTCCAGTGGTGCCAGTCGTCAAAGCTGGCTTTGGCTGTCCCTGACCTGGAAGGACTAAAAGCACTTCCAGGTCAGGTTATGACTTTGCCTGGGCAACAAGTCTCTACTGTGCCTGACCCCTACCTTCTGACTTCTGGACAATGACTCCTTGTTCCTGACTTTTGGCCCCCTACAGCCCAGCACTGACACAGACAAATAATAAAGTACATGAGAATTGGACCAGCAATGCTAGGAACTGCTTGCCAATAGTATGTTCCTGGATAAATACTTCCGGTTAATCATAAACAGGGTTGTGTCTATCCTGCAATGTCACTAATGCACTAGGCAAGACACAAATATCCAGCACAGAATTCAAGATGCAGGGAATGTCCACTTTTAAAGAGGGATCATGATAGTCTTGGAAGGGTTTGGGTATGCCTAGTGAGGAAGAGTTGGAGGGTAAAATGAATGCTAGAAAGGTTTTTTCCAGCTGAAAGGCGAATAGGGGTATCTGTTCCCTGC